ATATATATATATATATATATATATATAAGCTGGGATAGACTATGTATTAACTGGTAAATAACTATTTCATGAGTTTTATATTTTAATTATTAAGGATTTATCGTTCAAATCTTAATATATTATTTATAAAAAGAGTATATAGCTTATAGGTAGATATTTTGTTGTTATCATTAATATGAAATGTGTTAAATTTTGTAAAAAAGTTAAAAGCTGGTTTAGTCGTATCCATGCAACTTTGCAGGAGCTCCGTTATAAATGGAGAATAAAAAGCACAAGGGACTAGGGAGTCAAACGCCATCATTTGGAGTCCTGCCTGACAGAGTTTATATCTTGAGATAAAACATCAACGAAGGAGAATATTCATTATCCACTCGACAACATATTATTGAAAAACATTTCCRGAGAATTCTGTTCAAAATCGAAAATGTCAGACTTTTTTTATCAACTCTTACTTTGAGAGCACGCATGCAGCTTTAAAAAGTTACCCACCGACCGCCCACCCACCCATTTTTTTTTTTAATTTAAAAAAAATATTCTTGCTACAGTCCATAATATTATACTCACTTATTATTAATCACTGTAGTTTACGGAAATTAACAATATTGTATAGACTATATATTATAGTCGATATTAAAAATGTATTATCTTCCTCGTGAGTCACAAGTTGTGACATCGACACCCCCCTGGAGAGCACAATATGCAGACACACGGCTAACTTGTCTGGACGCCACGGGTCTTATCAAAATACAACATGACGTGGCGATTTCGCGAATTACGCGGACATTCAGTAGTATTGTGGAAGTATAATTTATATACGTATTTAAATACTGCACCRTGAGTGATTGAGCCTTATCGCCGATATATTCTCGGGGTCTAGCAATTGGACGGTCGTCGGAGATAAGACGTGCACATAATAGTCATGTATACATTATATACATACACATTTATATAGGTACTAATAATATTTTAAATTATAATATACGATAAGTATCCGAACGCAATAATTKTTATTACACAGTACGAAAACCGCGTAATGTGTTACCATGTAGTACACCGATGACTATATTATATATTTTAAATTATAATATACGATAGTAATGCGGTCAGTCATAATTCGGTTAGCCTCARTGTCGGTTGTAGGTATAGTGATGTAGGCACCCATGMCGTGCGTAAAGGTGAGCATAATATATAATAATATGTTATATAATATTATATAAACCTATTTTATTATTSGCGTTTCGATTACACCGTATAATTATGCATCTCGCCAAAACAATATAATGTGACGACGACGACGACGAACACTTGTGCGGTCATAGAATTTCAGCGATTTAATATAAATAAAAATATATATGTAATATTCGTAACAATAATAACGTTAAATAATTTCGAGATACTTTTTTTTTTCGTTCTTAAAGCGTAGACCGTAGTGAATCCGCCGTTATAATATCATAATCGTATTTAATATCGATCGAATATGTTTATTATTATGTTTAGTGTATTGTTAGCATTATAGTGTTATTATATATTATCACCGTGGACGGCCGGAGGAAAGTTCTTAAATACAGTAAAAACCTCGAAGTGTACATCACCGCAAACTTTGTCATAAAAATATACAACTTCCAATAACGGAAAACGTKTCGAACAGTGTTTTAAGATCGTATCGTGATAATTGCGAACAATCGACGGAGTYTCGAGTATTTGCTGTAGTTGTTAATAATTGTTGCCGACGGGAGTTGAAACCAAACGACGGCGACGACCGTTTAAAAAGTTTTCGTCACACACACATATAAATACACGTATACAAAGCATTTTAATGTGGTTTAATGATTAAAAACGTCGAATCCATGTAAAGCKATTTTGAAAATAGCGAAAAAATTTTCCCGTCTATAGATTTATTAGCGCGCCATTACCATATTATATAAATAGATAATAGTAAGATTTTAATATAAACATTAAAAAAAAAAAAAAAAAATGTCATCAATAATATTGTATACTCGCGAAATCGACTCGATAAAGCGATAATGCAATAATATTATACATCCGATAGACCGCAGTGCCGGCAGTGGCGTCCGAGGGGGTGCGGTACAGCAGCGCACTCGCATATTAATATAAATATTTTCGTGTACGATAACAACGACAACAATAACAACAACAACAACAACAACACTTTAATGCACGGGTATATTATATTACCGCATACTTATTTGTAAGCCTTAATTAACTTTATAATATTGTAAAAGCATTGTAAAAATACATTGGCGTACTGAAACAATTATATATTATAATAAATTTAAAAAAWATATATACATTATTTATTATATTAATAATAAGAATAGCAGTGAATATTACATGAAATACACGCGACATAATATTATAACAATTATAACAATAGAGGGGGTCGTTAAACATCGTTATTGCGTTATTGTTATGTTGAGCGGCGCTTAGCCGGGAAGGGGTCGGGGGCGGCGGGGAGATAGCGCGCCGGTCGCCACGCGCGAAGAACACGACCGCGGCGCAGAACACGACCGCGATCCGATGGAGCTGGCCGTGACGAACGCGACGGCGTCGTCGTCGCCCGCGACGCCGGTGTTGCCGGTCCCGTCCGGCACCCGTTTAACGAGTCCCGGATTGCAGATGGGTGTCACCGGGCTGTACGCGTTCGGCATATTCGGCAACCTGCTGGCGCTGTTCATATTGCACCGGACCCGGTCGAGCAGCAACCAGAAACACGGTTTCATGTTGCGGTGCCTGGCCACCAACGATTGCATCGCCCTCACCGGCATGCTGGTCCAGATGTTCGTGAGTGTCGGCTGGCCGGGCACCCGGAACAACGTGTGGTCGTGCCGGATCCGCGTCCTGTGGCGGTTCTTCGGACTGGGCTCCGGGTGCGTGGCCATCGTGATGGCCGTCGAACGCTGGCTGGCGCTCACCAAACCGTTTTTTTACCAAAAGGTGCGTACCCACAGCATATATTATTATACCTGTTGCCGCTTCACGCGCGTGTACCTATACCGTATACCAGTGCTCGGGTTATAGGTGTGAACTACCCCTGTATTCTTAACCCCCTCCCCCCCTTCACGTCTCCGGAATCTGGTACACACGCTGTACCCAAGTACAGGGTTGATACGTTTCGGAAGTTTAGTTCAAGAAGAATTTCCGAGTATAAATTTCTGATWAGTTAAATAATTCAAAAAAGAAACCTAGACATAGGTATATGTGTACCTATACATTTTTGACACCGAACTTATAAAAATGACCATGTTCTGAAAATATTATATTTTTAATAGACTGCAATGCAATGGGTGGTCCGAAAATATGGATGATACATTAATATATATTTTTGAAATCTTAGAGAAATTGTCTGGCTATAATTTTATTATCAAAGYATGTAGGTAAATAGCTGCAGTTGCGTGAATTTATTAACAGAACGGCTAAAAATTTAAATATTCTGCAATGATAGAAGTGCTGCAGTAAAGGAGACGTAATATTTTCGTTTCAGTGWCMATTTGCTTAATTAGGTTTAAGCCGTTTACAATTATGTATTATCTTAAGTTTAAAAAATGATCAATATATTTTACATTTTGACGATTTTGTCCTATATAGAAAAATAAAAAAATAAATTTTGATTTCTCCCAAATAATGTGCATTATCTCGTTATTGCAGGCAAAGTATATTGCCAAAAAAGGATAAGTATAATATGATTTTAGCCTAACTGATAAAAATATAATAATAACATAAACAACCATAATATAATAATGTTAAATTGATTTGGTTATTAGAAATATCAATAAATAATATATTACAAAACAGTAGTAGGGTGCTTATACATTACTGTCGAAAAATTAAAGTTATGAATATATTGTAGCGGMAATCAGTTGGCCAGTCTTTTAAGTCACTATAGGTTTAATGATTTAAACTTTCGATCTACTTGTCTGTTGTCTACTAAAAAATATTGTTAAGCGCGTGAAGTTGGAATAGACTTTAAAATGTGTCGATTTCAAAAATCCAAACATAATCTGACGAAAAAAATATATGTGTAATTTGTTGACTTAAAATCTCGATCAGCTTTTCAGACAAAAGAGTAGCTTAGAGTGGGGGGAGGGGTAATTTCTCCCATAACCATAGTTAACATATATTGAATACAATTTTAAATTTGAGTAAACATTTTAAAATTTACTTGGTTTCCTTCCCTCCCTCCCTCCACCCCCTTCGATTAAGATTTCTAGCTACGATCTTGTCTACAGATATTAACTTGTATAATATGCTATTATAATAGTAACCATGTTATATTAACCTTATTTAGTTTGTTAATTTTGTCGTATACAAACAAGTGAGTGAAAATTTGTATTCAATAGGGACGCTGGAGCGGAGTCATGCATAGGACGAGCGTTGTATATAATAGGTACCTACATGACATTATATTATTATCTACCTATATTATTATGCGCCAGCTTCCCGCACTTTTGCATCTTCGAAAACAATATTTATCATCGAAAAAGTTAACGATTCTCAATAGGACCAATTTCAATTATGTCGCGTTCGAATTCCATCATCAACATGATATTATAATAATTATTTATTACATATTATTACATTAATAAAATRYGGTGAGCGGTGTTGTTCACGATTCGTGTTTTCGTATTATTATAATATACATAGGTATTCGAGGCGTGATGACAAACACAGATTTACACACGTCGGTTATCAGGATGCAAACAAGTCGTTTCAAAGTGTCATAACCGAGTAAAGTAATAAAATCGTAATCAAAAATACGTTATTATGTTATACGATTACACGTGYAGCGTAYCATTGGTTTCTTTTCATCGTATAATAGTACACAAATTGGCAAGATTCTTTAATAATAGTAATTGTGGTTATCGTTTGGAAGTCGTATATTATTATTATGTTGAAATAACAACGTCGCCAATGTTCCCCGAAGATGTCTTGGATTTAAAAAGTCTGGCAAATTTTTTGTCGAATGTTTATAATSAACTTTTTATTTTGACATACCTACGCACAGTACATTTCGAGTTATCCAAACCCACTGCTGGCATTACTTATACATAATATACCTTCACACATATAATATCATAAATAATGTTTTCAAAGTTTGGAGGGCTTAACTATAGATTATATAATTATATTGACGTACACTTATCGAATGTGTTCCTATAAGCTGTCCAATGTGAAATAGCTACTCTGGAAAATCACCATAGAATTTTTTTTCTATTGATCTTAATATGCATGTGTACATTTTTCAAAACAAATCTCACGCTCATCTGATAAAGCTGTTTGCTTACATGATGAAAGCTTATTCAATTCGTGGGCGTACTAACAAACGATAGATTTATTCTTAAGTGTGCTTGAAAAAGTAGAATTTAAATTGTATTACAGTTAAAAATGAACTTAGGGTGCAAATCGATCGTTGTATTTCTCTGATTTTATTTCAATGACATTGAATTTTATTCAGCAACTGCCAACTACTTACTAGAAAATCATGTAAAAAATGTCATTATTTTCCGATTAATTGTATGCCTTGAAAATATGTTTTTAAACTGAATTTCCGAATTAATATACAAGAAAAATAACATTAAACAAATTTGTAGTATGCATGTTAGCATAGATCGTTTCGTTTAAGTGTATTGTCATAAATTAATAATGATATAATCATTACAACAAATTGTAAACACATTAAATTAAATATGTTTAAAACCTAAAAACAATAATGTCAATCATAGCATCATTACTGTAGTATAGTTAAGATACCCAAGAGTCATAGAGCATGGCATATCAACATATCTATAATTTCATATATTATTTTACGTTTTTCAAATAATTATATCTTACAAAATATGTCTGAAAATACATTTTTATTCGTATTAATCATTTAAAAAAAAAAAAATGAAAAATGAAAAACCTTTTTGTAATTTCCGTAAATTAATATTATATCAGTATACTAGGTACCTTTGTTCAAATTTCTATTGATATTCAAATGAGATAAATACAAAGAACTATTGTTTATTGCTATTGGTTGTATATAGCGTGTTATAGTTAAGTAAAAAAAAAAATGGTTGGTTTAATTATTAAAAATTATGCTATTATGTATWAATGTTTTACTGCAAGATAATTTTGTAAAAATTGTATAATTTTTAACAGCATTAATTAATAATAATATTATAACAGATATGAATTATGGATTGCTTATTATATAAAATACGATGGTATATTTTTCTAGAATTTTTAGTTCTTAATATGWCGCTATTATTTTAATAAAGCAATTTTCTTAAGGTTTGCTTTTTTTTAAATGTGTGTCATAATTATAGTAAAAAAATATTTTCATAGCTTGAAAACTGTTAATGCCTAAATGAATAATAGCAACATATTGTCATTACTCATCATTCATCGTAGTTCAATGAGAGAGCTACAGGTATAGAGAACAAAAATAAATTGTGTGCTATATTACTTAATGGATGTGATAACCATCTTAGTTACCTACCTTACATATCTCTCTAGTAATTTATTGTAATTTGAACCAAAAAAAAAAGTACCTATGTTCTTATATGTCACCTATACGCCAATTTGGTTAAAAATATTAGCATTTACTTAATAATGCAATAGTTTGAATTAATTTGATACATTTTTTATTAGCTTGCACTTTGGTGAATCCGATAAATCATATATTTTATTCTAATAATATTTAACTTTAAATTTTATAGCTACAAGTTATAAACTTACAACTTTTAACACGTGTTTACATGCAAATKTATCTAGGTATAATAGAAAAAACTCAAATAGAAACTAAAAATTCAAACAAACTGTGATAAATATCTATTGTCTATCTAGGTATAGGTACTACAATTTAAAAGTTTAAAATAGGTATATGAATAAAATATAGTTTGTTTTTAAATTTTCTAGTATAACATTACGAACAAATGAGAGAAATTTATTACTTTAAAAAAGTTATACATAATATTTTTTATTATTTTATATGTGGGTATTGTTTGTGTTTTTTCTATTACTGTATATAGTTTTAATATAAATCATTATTAAATAAAAGTTCAAATAGTTTTAAGTAATATTTTTTAGCTAAATTTATTTTAACARATAACTGATAAGTATAATAATAACAATTTAATAATTTAACTTATTAGGTATCTATCAATACTGTTGCTCCTCATTTTCAGTGCTTATAGGTAGAAAATAGAAGGTAATCGCAATATCATAAGTCTTTCAGAACCTATACTGGTCAATATAAGTTATAATTATGACTTTTTTTTTTTATTAATATTTTCATTGTAAAAAAAAATGGATGTTTACGTTATTTCTTTAGGAAAAAAAAACTATAATTAAGGATCCTTCAATAAGTACATTTTTAAGATAGGGGTTTGAGGTGGGCTATATGGGTCAAAAAATAAATGTATACACACAAACTAAAGTGAATAATTTATTATAACTTTGAGTAGGTATCTATCATTTTATATTTACAAAAGTTAACCTAACATGGGATATAGTAAAAACTAAAAAATATTATGCGAGATAATCACATTAAGTCGCGATAGCAAATATCGGTTATTTTAGCAGAGCTGTTATATTATTTTATTTAGGTATTGAATAATTCAAATCGTATGTATTTATATGTGATGAGAGTTATTGGGCTTAAAGATAATATGTTATTTTAAAGTGGAAACGAATAAATATGTTTTCATAAATTAAAATAATAGATCAATAATTTTCAACTACGAAGATAAGTTAATACAACTTACTGTTAGGGACATTATGAGTAATAATGATTCACATTAAACATAATAAGGTAATTGAAAATAATGATTATGACTATTGACTTATAGCAATAAATAGTATAATATTGTTACAGTCACACAGATCAATCTAAAAAAAAAAATAGAACGGTAATACTAATATGAGTAAATTGTGTATTGAAATATGAAAATAAA